ACTCACGGGGATTCACGGCGAGGTGGGAAAAAAACTTGTATTTACTCCTTCCGTCCAGCGAGGGCGGGAGCGGGGGGACAGTGGCGCACAGGCGGCGGGGGACAGGCGACGGGGAACAGCGGAGGCAATTCCTTCCTAATGAGGAAGGAGGAAATATGGGAGAAGGAGAGGTGACGCCGCCGTCACAGAGGTCGATCGCCTGCGAGGGTGAGTGATTCGGCTTAACGATGGAGCTGATGGCCCGAGTAAAGCCGAATCACTCACCTTCGCAGGCGATCGACCTCTGTGACGGCGGCGTGGGAAAACGTCACCTCTCCTCTTCCCGTTTTTGCTCCTTCCTCATTTGGACGCCCTTCCGTCACCTCACCTTGTCGGTCGTCCTTCGTTCCCTGCTCGACATCCCGCCCTTCGGTGAGTCGTCGTCGTCTGTCCTGTACAGCACTTAATGTGTTACGCAGACTCACTGTCGTTGCGGAGCTTTGGAGCCTTGACACGTCAGCGACTCTACCGGGCTGGTGAGTTATTTTTTCAGCCAGATTCTGTTCGCTCATCCGCTAAGAACTCGCAGCTTCTTGGCCCAACAATCCTGCCCTCCCTTTCCACCTCCGTGTCCGCGCGGTTATCGAGCTCTAGTCGGTCCCAAAGTGTGTTACCCATCGACTGATTCATTCATTTGTGCTAACGACTATATTCTGCCAGAAATACATGGCCTCACAATCATCCACGACGAGTTCCGCTCAGACTGCTTGGGAGGAGGAATGCGCTAGATACATCCCTTCCGTACATCCCAATAGAGAACCGTTATTCCTCTACGAAACCGATTCTGAGTCGGAAGACCCCCCCCCCGAAATCGATTCCCCCGACATCGATTCCCCCGACATCGATTCCCCCGAAACCGATTCTGAGTCGCAAGCCCCTGCTAACCCTACTAAACGAGCGGCGAATCCCACTGCTGCGCTTCTAAAATTTTTCGTGGATACTGAGGCCATTGAGCGCGATAACGACTCTGACGAGGAATTGCTGGGAGACGTGGAATGGGAAGACCATAGGTTTCTGGACGACGACGACCAATACGAAAGCGGGGACGAGCAAATGGATGTCGACGAGTCTCCCCCCGCGAACCGGCTCAGCGAGCAAACAATTGAAGACATGGAAGCCACTGCTGCTTACTACGACGACAAAGCTCGGCGCGCGCGCGACAGCTAGAGCGCGTTCTGCGCGGTACACCGACAGAGTCCAGCAAGAACACTCCTTGGTGGGAAAAACTCCAAATTTCTCGCCCATCACCCATTCCTCCGCCTCAGTCACCTCAGTTCTTCGCTATTCAAATCCGACCTGGAGGGGAAGTCCCTCTAATCCTTTATCTCGCCGTCCAACCACACATAATCGTCAGCGGGTACATGGGGGCAGGGCTCGGGCGTTGCGTATGTGGAAACCAGGGCCATGGACCGGAATATAGAAGAATGGCTTGAGGCCCAAGCACTCGAGAACGGTCAACACAAGACTTATATTCCACCAGCACCCATACAAACACTAACCGAGACGCTGCAAAAATGGACGCAAGCATATCGCTGGGGCGGGCCAAATCGTCTACATCCAGTCCTCGTCTCCCCCTTCCTCCAGCACCTCTTACTCGTACCACCCGTTGACCCGAAATATGCTGACCCGTTTTGGGAGGCGAGAGATGGGTGCGCGTCACGGGCAACTCACTTTACGAGGGTGACTTGGCGTTTGTGGAACGCTACTATCCCGACCCCGACTTTGCAGATCGATATGCATACGTCGTACCTCGGATCGCGCTCACACGGAAAGACGGGCAGAGAAAGCGACCTCTTCCCCGTTTATTTGACCGATTCTTGGTCATGGATCGACTGAGGGTGAAGTTCGAGGTCCGCAACCTCGTCTGCTATTACGGGCGCAGGGAGTTTGGTATTGCATCGGCCTATGGGGGATTAGAACGCATCCGACTGAAAGATACCCCATACCTGACGAATACGGGCGCAACGCAATGCGATCCCGACGGAGGCGGAATTAGACCTTTTTCGACTATCGCCTGCAACAGAGCTAGCCATACCTTTTAACGGTTATACTCTGGCGCTTCACGAGGGCGATAGAGTTGTGGTTGTTCCCGGCAAGATAATCCCATAACAGGTATAATCGTGCGGCTCGCCTCTCTTACATTCGCGGGCCAAGTAATTCCCAGCGCCTTGGTACTGCCCGACTACGACGGAACTACTTGGCTTGATCCCCAGTCTCCGCAACTCCAGCAGGGAGTGGCCTACCCGCTCTCCCGTTTACGACTTCATCTGCTCGCTACGAACGACGAGTTCACGTTGGGGACAGGGTCAAAATCGTCAGCGGAAACTACATGGCTGGCTACAGTGGCCGTGTCTGTGAAGTTCGGGACGACAGTGTTACATTGGCGATGTTGTCGAAGGACGAGAAGTTGAAAGAGAAGAAGTCGAAGGAGCCTGCGCATGAGGCGAAGAACACAGAAGGCGAGCCCAATCTTGAAGATGAGACGGCCAAACCCAAAGACGAGGAACTTGACCCCACTGTCGGTGTTGACGTCCCCATACGCCATATAATGCTCGACTTTCAGCTGGCGGACGTTGTTCGAGTCATTCGAGGACCGCACAAAGGCATGGTCGGTTTCATTGTCGAAGTTCATCGTGGAGGATGGATTGGCTTCCAGCCGGTATATATCCGACTCCGTTTTGCGAGACTTCTGCTAACATATTGTAGGGCCAGTTCCATGATGGCCTGTTCTCAACGCCCGACCCAGCTCAACCAACGGGGATATATTACGCCCCCAACCCAGAGTTTCCTGAGCTAGACGAGCTCAAGCTTGAGCTGGAACAAGTCCTTCACGCTGACAGCGAGAAGAAGACGGGCATCTTCAACAGTCGGCGTCGACTTGATGCCTTTCGATCGACAGGCCTTCGTATACCAACCAACTTCATCGAATTCGAGCATTGGAAAGACACACCAATGCAGCTTCAAACGCAGGACCACGAATACTGGTTAACAGTCAAGAAAAACCAAAAATTTATCCGACAAGCCACCCGTGATTCTGAAGACTGGACACAGTGGATGGAGGTTATGGTGACAGGGAAGGAGTATTGCAAAGGCAGGTATGGGACAATCCAAAACCGTCGTTGGCTCAAGACACGCCCGATCCCACTCTTCGAAGGACTCCCGACTACAACGACTTGGTCTTCGAGGTTGGTTTAGATGCCAGCGCTCAAGTCATCTCGGTACCCTATCACCATCTCGTCGAGCGATATTCCAAAAAGGACTTGTACACCGCCTACTGTTTGTACGGCCAGCAAGCGGCCTTGAAATTCCAACGACGGCCGCTTGTGCCTCCTCCTCCTCGCATTCCTACGCCTCCGCCGGAAGAGCCACTATTTGATCTCGCTCCAGAGGCAGACGGCTTCCTCGCTCGTTATGGACCCCCACCACAGATCGACGAGTGTGATGGCGGGTGGCTTCTTCATGAGCAGATGGTGCAAAAGCGGATTGATGTGGTCGTAGGCGTCGAAGAAGGACTTCATCGACATCAAGAAGAAGTACTCGAAGCTGCGTAAGCTCATCAATGACCCTCAACTTGCGCAGGCGGACCAGACCGGCTATCTCTGGCCGTTGGTCACTCCCCTGTCCTTGGATGAGATCAAGAAAAAGATCTACTACGTCAACGTCCACCGTCCCCCGACCTACAAAAAGGTCAAAATGCCAATTCAGGCATTGCGGCCGTGTCGAATTTTGCCTTCCGGCCTCTCTATCAGCCAGGCTCGGCATCGAGTACTCATCATTGGCCCCGACACTATGGGCTCCTCTTATCGCATTGGACACTATGGCGAGGTCGTGCCGAATGAGACAGAGTATCCTGACCGCGTGGTCAAGGTGCGATTTTTGCCGCAAGCGACCGGACCATACGGAGACGAGGTGCCGCGGGAGGGCACATATCACTTGGTTGCCTTATGCCGATCGATGAATGTGGATATAGACGACACTGTTAGAGCCACCGTATTTTTTTAGAGACTGTAGCGTAATTGTAACATACACCCAGTTTATTTGTAGCATATCCAGAGCCCCAAAATAAACATAGATAGCACGATAAGGCAAAAGTGAGAGACGATGAGATAAGACTAAGATAACGATACGATGAGATACGATGAGATAAGACTAAGATAACGATAAGATGAGATCAGACAATGATAACTAGTTTTGTGGGAGGTCCCGCATAGCGGCATTGTAGGCACAGAAAAGGCCAGTGACAGGCAATGCGAAGAAGGCCAGCAAGGCGTCACCGTGGTCCGGTGTGCCGACGGCGGCCTCCAAGGCCTCGTGGGCGGCATCGCTCTCGTCAAGCCGAGTGCCATAGGCCAAAGCCGCCAAAAAGGCCTTCATGTAAGGCTCATCACGACGACCCTTGACTGGAAAAAATTAACAAGAGGTTAGTGTATAACAGCGACGCCGCACCCTCAAGCACCTCGTTGCTGTAGACGATCTTCAAATGGTCGCGATAGTCAACCACTAGAATATTCCTTAGTCAAAGGAGCGATGGCGGGGAGGCACGTACGAAATTGAGCCGGGATTGGGTGCAGCAGGAAATAAGCATTAGTGATGGCCTCGTCCTTGTCCTCGCGGTACCCGAGAAGAGTGGAAGGCAAATAGCTCTCGTTGAGCTTCGGGTCACAGGTACGGGTGCCGAGTGATTTGCGGGGGCTCGTGCGAGTCGCAGTGCGGGTGGCGGGCATGATGGCGGAGCGATGGGTCGAGTGTAAGTGGTATCGTTGCTGAGCTCAGGAGACCATTTTATAGCACAACCGCGTTGAAACAGACAATGCAGCAAACGGGGCGCGCTTTGATGCAGCAACTCTCGGCTCGGCGTGCTTTGTCGGCATGCCCAGCGGATCGGTGGCATCATGATCAACAACGGGCTAAAAGCGGCTCGCACGTGACTAGCTCACCCTTCCTTCAGTCGTACCACTATCATGCCAAACCCTCGTATTTCGCGCAAGAACCTCGCTCTTCACCGCAACGGTCAACTGGCTGTTTCCTCTTTCCAGCCACTGCCCACTATCAATCGTATGAACACGAAACCTATCAAAAGCAGTGGTACAATCTTCGTAACCGGCAAACAAACCTCCGCTTTCTTTCCAGGTCGAGCTCCGCGCCAATCTCCCACGAAGAAGTTACCCAAACGTGATGTTCCAGCAGCTGAAGGCGATTTTACACCGGTGGAATACCATATCCCTGGTGCGGGCTCGCGCAAGCGAGCCGCGCAGTATGATAACTGGATGAAGATGCTTCCCGACCTCGTTCCTCCCTACCTGCAACTCATGGTGGACACGGACTCGCTCAAAAGAGTTGGGGACATCCACCCTGGACGTGCCACTTGCGCTTGTATCAAACGTCGGCTTCAAATCACTGTTATTCGATGGATCTCGATCGAAGATATCGAACTCCAGAGCTGTCCTCATTGCGACGCCTTCCGAGCCCCAATTCTCCTGCTGCAGGGCGGACTCTTTCCCTGCAGTCCTTGCAATCCAACTCTCGCGGTCGAAATACCTTTACTCCAGTTCTTTATCGAGCTCGGGCTCAACGTGGCGCCGAATAATACGGCATTCTGCAAAACGCTAGAGAATGTTCTGGCCGAATGGGGGTATAAGATGGCGTCTGGGGTGAGTTTTCTACATTCTATTTGATCTAGTAGCTCATTCGCATGTCTATTAGGAGCGCCTCCGTATCCGATTTGGGAATACGACTCAATGGTTCACCCAATTGCGGCTCCTCGTTGACAAACGAGTCAACGATGCCTTGGAACCGGCTCGGACCGCTGCCCGGAACCGTTATGCCGATGACACCGTCGATCATCCGAACGAGGAAGCTGTCATTACCCCGCATCAAGAAGGTGTCATTACCCCGCATCAAGAAGATGTCATTACCCCGGACGCCGATCAGGGTCAAAACCGGACCGGGACCGGTACCCGCCTGCCGGTGGCCTCCAGTGCGAAGGCTGCTGGCAAGAAGCGACGTCGCGAGCAGGACCAAGACATGGCTCCCCCCTCCTAATCCCTATTCTGACCCGCCGCATCGGACTCGTCCCAGTGATTATCTCATAAAGCGCTGCCCTGCGTGTTTCAATGGCCTGAAGCACGACGCAACTCAGACATTCGACGTTGCTGTCTGCCTGGATGGCAATTTCACACAAAAGCGTTACCGTAGCTCCGGTGCTATGGACCCGCCACGCCAGCATCCTGACACCATCTTCATACCTCGTGATCGCGCGAAGGCTATGGAGGAATATGTGGATGGCGTTCGGGCTACTCCCAATGCCACCAAAAGACCAAGGCTTGACGGAGAGCTGGAGGATGATGGATACGAAGACGGCCTCAAGGTGCCAACTTCAGGACTTAACGCCTGCGAAAAGCGTCTTTCAAGGCTGCCGATGAAGCGCGCGAGAAAGCGAGCACGCGCTTCTTTGCGGAAACTGGTCTCATGGGGCTTGTTTGTCGCCATGATATCCCTTTATTTATCGTCAACATGGACAGCGCGGGCGAAAAACAATACTATGCCATCTTGCTCCTTGAAGCCTTCATGCAGCATCTGCCTCTCAACGTAATAGTGGGCGTGTTATACGATATCGCGTGCCAACTGGAGCGTTCCTGCAAGAAATTCGGCTTTCTGCTCCGTTACTGGGACCGTCTTGTCTTCGCCATATCGGTCTTTCACGCCTTCGCCCATATCTGGTCATGTCAACTGATTTATCACCCGCAAAAATGCATCGGGTTCGGGGGAACTAACGGAGAGGGCAGCGAACGCGTATGGTTCAAACTGTTCAAACTGAGCCATCTCATTTCCAACCTTCGCGTCTGTGGGGTGCGTTCATTCTCGCTTGTTGCTGTCAGCGAATCTGATATCTTCAGTATCATCAAAGAGTATTAACTCTGGATCGTCAATTGGAGCACGATTCAAAGGAAGTGATGTACACCATCGCTCAGTGGGTAAGGCGGCGAACGAACCTCTTCGAAAGCAAGTTGAGAGAGGCTGAACAAGTCCTCTCGGCCAGCAACATGACCGAGCAAGAGATACAAGGACACTGGGAAACCCAAATCGCTTACCAAACGCGACCGTTAGCCAGTATGTTGTCCATCTATGGCTTCCCCGTCTACGAGACTTACTTGCCATCTCTAGAACGTTCAAAAACAGCCGCCGACACTGCAATCAAGAATGTTATTGTTGCAGAACGAACGATGGCTCTACTCGATAAACAAAGCACTGCTAAACTGGCAAAGCTGCGGCGTCTCGAGTTGCCACTCGCTCAACGCCAGACGCTGCAAGAGGAGATCGAGGATCTCCAAGACAGCTTGAAGAAAGAAACAGCCAAGCGCGACAAACTATTACGCCAGCTTGGGGCTTCCGAGATGGTGGCACTGGCCAGCATGCAGCATCGCGAGTATTATACTCACAAGTTTTCGCTCACCACCTTACGCGATCGCCTCCTTCATCGGATAACATCGAAAAAGATGGAACATGATCAACTTGAGCGATCCGTGCGTCGTTCAACAAGTAGTTCGTGAACTCCACTATCAACCAGTTGTATTTGAATCTAACACAACTTTCAGCTCATAAGAAGAATGAACATGCGTCTGCCGCGATCAAAAAACGTGAACCGACCATAAAACGGCTGGTGAAGCAGTACAACGAGGAAGTTGGGCACATCGAGAAGCTTATTGCGAAGAAAAAGGTCCCCAGCAAAACAGTCGCCCCCAGCGCATCGAGGAGGACCACATCTTCGACCTGGACATTGACGATGCCATCTGGATTGATGTCGGCCTCACAGAAAACGACGGCGTTGACGTTCCTCGGGCGCTAATCGACGCTGACTTGCGAGGCTTAATTCGCCTGCTTCTGCAGAAGCAACGAGCAAAAGAAGAGTTACATCGCCTCAGACGGGAACATGGGCATCTTCGGATTCACCTAGCGACTGAATGGGAGGCTTTAGAGTCCACAATCGCTGAAACTAGCGATCCCGCTCTTCTCTACCAGCTGGAGCATCAACGTCGCGACCTGCTCGACCTTCACGTCATGTGGAAGGACTCCTTAGACGCGCTTCTCCCGCCTGACGGACTTCCAGCTTGGGGGCCATCTGCGATGGAATTGACGATGGCGCGAGTATCACGCGCTGTACCTCTCTGGAGGACTGAAGAGGATGAGTCGGATGTTTGCAGCGATGATGGCGCTCCCGAGGAAGCTGAGGACCCAGCGCTTATAGCAGTACTTAGTGTTCTTGAGCGGGCTGAAGTGGAAGGTGACGATGACGATGTGTTTCTTTAGATTTCACATTTTGTATCTACCGATGTATTCATCTACTGTTTGAGGAAGGATTTAGCACGCGTGAAGGCTGCTGAACGGATTGCGCACCTAGCTTAACGCACCAACGCGCGGTGGGCGGAAGAGGGACTGGGTCGGGGAGGAGGCGGGGAGGATGTCCCGAATAGGAAGGTGCAAATTGGAGAGAGGGAGAGGTGACGATTTCCCACGGTAACGGTCACAGAGGTCGAGCCCCGCTGGGGGGGAGGGATTCGGCCGACTCGGCCGATCAGGTGCGTGATCCGACTCGGGTATGCCCGTGGGCCGAGCCGGGAAGCACGTGGGCGTGCCCGCAGACCCTGGAGGCAAACGCGCGGGTTATACCCACTGATGGTGGGCTTAACCAAGTGCATGACCTGAAAATACCTGGCTGATGGGTCTGCCCAGCCTATTTAGGAAGGTTTGCGCGGGTATGACCACCCCAATTGGGCGCATCCACGTGCACTGATGGGCCTACCCGGACGCGTCTTTGTGCGACGCGTGTGGGTCAGCCCACAACCGCCCCGGGCTGGCCCATGTCCTTTTTGGGAAAGACCTCGGGTATATCCAAGCCGAGTGATGGCCTTGCCCAAACCAGGCCTGATGAAGCCCCTTGGGTTGACCCAAATCACGTTCCGCGAGCGCGTCCGGGTATACCCAGCAACCATGGGGACGACCCAAGTTGAACATGCCGGCCGGCAGAGTCATATACCGGCCGGCATCATCGGCCATGTCAGATATAACGGTGATATGTTGATTTCAGCACAGTAATAGCCAGACGACCTATGTAGCATGAGTATATATAGATAATACATATTATAGGAACGTTCTAGCAGCAAGCTTAAGGAGCATGGGCGGAAGGCCAAACCAGCAGAGCACAATATGCTTATTTTGTAGCAGGGGTGGAAGGGCGTCAAGTGACGATCAAAGCACCGACCTATAATTGTTCCGTGGCCCAGTCGGCTTCCCTCTTACCTCCCTTTCACCGGTTCAATTCCAGCACCTGTCTTTTTTTTTCCAGTACAAGTCTTGCCCCCCACCCCCTCTGGTTCAACTCTCGGAAGGGTCATTTTTTTGCCCACCACCACCTTTTCTTTTATCTATAGCCTATATAGGTACCCAATTGTCTAGATACTTTCCATACAGCCACGCCAGCTGAAAAAAATATAATCCAAGCACCTGCCCCCTACCTGAACTATGAAATGTATTTTCCCATCACCCAAGTACCATAATATATTACTTGGAACATGTCTAAGTGTCCCAGCATTTTTTATATATTTTCTAGGCTGCTATATAGGCTGTAATAAATTAAATACAAATACCCACACCCATGGGTCAACCCACACCAAAAAGGGCTAATGTGATGTGACAGACCATGGGCAAGCCCACAATCTGGGTAGACCCATACCCAGTGGAGTAACCCCATGGGAGGACCCCCTCATAGGCTTGGGGAGAGGGGGGGTTCTTTAACCCTAACAGAGATCAGGGGGGGGTAGCCTGAGGTGTGCACTACTATATACTAGTGACCGGAGTAATGATAGAGTGACTGCATAGCGACGAACAACGCATGGGAGAAGTCAGGTGTCGCTAATGGACCCTAGGTGAGTGTCGAGTAGCCCTCGAAGCTCCGGAGAGGCAGGTTTGGGACCATGATGCCAAGGGAAGAGCCCAGGCATCCTTAGAAGGCCCAGGAAGGGCTTCGGGGGGTCCAGACTGCCTCTGGGCGTCTCCGCTTGTGACCGTGACCGTGACAACCGGAATCGGAATCGGAATCGGAATCGATTCCGGGTGTGTGACCGTGACGTGACGGCCGGAAACGGAGAGGGGGGGCATGGAGCGGAGAGGGAAGGAGTCGGTCTAGCCCAAGGGCCGGGGAGTGTCGGAAAGGACCAATAGGAATGGCGGCCAGCCATGACCACTGGAGGGTAGCGACAGGAGGGTCACTCGGAGACGTCCCCGGACGTCTCCAGAGAGGTGGAGGTGTGAGGGCATGCAGCCTGGGGCGCTGCAGTAGGCACGAGCCTTAACGGCAGTAGGCCTCACCCAAAGGAAGACCCGATGACGGGGGCCGTGGTGGCGGAGTGGGGGGCGGAGCCATGGCGGGGCTCAGCCATCCGAACGTAAGCCCGAACGCTGACATAGGTTGGGGACACCCAAGAGGTCCAACGGGTAGAGGTTGCAGGGAGACCTTGATGAGCGACAGCCCAGAGAGGCTATAAGGCCATAGGCTCAAGGTCTCAGAGGAAAGTGGTGCGGCCACATCCGGAGAGGTCTCCGATGGCATTAGTGATCCTTGATGGTGACTCCGGAGAGACTCCCAGAAAGGGGTGGCCATGGGAGTTGGAGGTTGGGGACCACTGGATGCGGGATGTGGTGGGAGAAGTGGAGGAGGAGCGTCAGGGTGCAGGAATACAGAGACTCGGGTGGAGACACGGAGACGCGAGTGGAGACGCGGAGACGTGAGCGGAGACGCGGCGCTTGATGGGATCAAGTGACGGCATCAGGGTTTCCCCTGACAGTGGTGGACCACCTGGTGGAGGTGGTGGTGCCGGAGTCCCTCGAGCTGGCTCTCCGGGCCGTGATCTTCAACGTGCTATGATTGGCGCTCTCCAAAATTTCCAACATTTCCTCACCAACTTTCCTCAGCGCAACAATGCTGCGCCCCGTTCAAACTGGAGTCTTCTCCGGGCACCGGACACGTTCAACGGTTCTGAGCCTGC